CGAGCACACTAAAATGCATAAGCAATGCAGCTTATCAGGGGCCGTGACAAAGGCCAGGCCCAAGCGCACTAAAAGCCCCCCACTGGTTCCAGGAAATAGTTGGTTCAAAGCAAGGCCCCAGGGAAGGTAAACAATTGAGAAATGCGCTAAAGGGGTGCCAGCCTGCTAAAACCCACCTGTAAACCCAAAAGGCGCCAGCTGAAGCCCATCTGTAAATCTAAAAGCGCCACAGATAACTAACAGTTGATCCTATCTGTTCAAGGAACTGTATAAAAGCTGCTTGCATTGTAAATTCGGGGCCGCTCCTGTCCTGAAAACGGGGCGACCTCCAGCATGCCGGAAATAAAACCTCTTGCCTGTGCATCGATCTCTCTGCCTCCTGGTCTTTGCGAGATGAGCCTTCCCATCAAGTTAAGATTCGTGCTTTTAGGCCGGTCTTACAGCTGGTACCATGTTTTGACATGTTTCAAACTCACCAATTTCTCTTTGATACCCTAATTATATGTCAAATATTTTTAAGGAAAAACAGCATAAAGGCACTTCAAAAAATACAAAGGTTCTCACCTCAGTTCCTCACCGCTTATAAGGACAGAGCTCCCCCACATGCAAATTTTCCTTCAAGCTCTAGGGTAAATGTTGACACCTGGGCTGTGGAAGCTCACAAGTCTGTCCTCAGGCTGGGCTCAGGTCTCTGGGGAAGGCAGAGTTGAGGCCTAATAGAAGATGAGATTGTGGGGTCTTCTCCTTTGCCTGGTGACAGCTCCCCAAGGTGAGTGTCTCAGATGTCAGACATGGGTCTATGGTATGGTTGTGACTGCATGTGACTAACAGGTTCTGATTCTACTTGTCCCCAGGTGTCCTGTCTGAGGTGCAGCTGCAGGAGTCGGGCCCAGAACTGGTGAAGCCCTCGCAGACCCTCTCCCTCACCTGCACCATCTCTGGTGACTCCATCACCAATGATTATGGTTGGAGCTGGATCCGCCAGCCCCCAGGGAAAAGCCTTGAGTGGATGGGATACCTCTATTCTAGTGGAAGCACAGCTTATAAACCATCCCTCAAGAGCCACATATCCATCACCATAGACACAACCAAGAACCAGTTCTCCCTGCAGCTGAACTCTGTGACCTCCGAGGACACAGGCGTGTATTACTGTGCGAGACTCACAGTGAGGGAAAGTCAGCGTGAGCCCAGACACAAACCTCTCTGCAGGATACAGGAGGGGTCTGGGCTGCAGGGGGCGCTCAAGGCCCACCCAGCTCCTGTGCCCCATGGGGCAGGTGCAGAGAGGGGATGGGGGTTCCTCTTGGAATCTGAGGTTTCCTCTGCTCTGCTGACTCTCAGATGTCCCTCAGGGTCATTTCCTGCTTTGTTGTTTGTGATTCAAATTTCCCACATTCTCACTGCTGGCAACACAGAATTAAAGAAATTTCCTCATTTGTAGATAAGATGTTTCCATACACTGGGACCATTCTCTTCTCAGGTTTTAACATGACCTCTTCTCCTTCCTGACACAGAAATCATTGTAAGGATTTTTATCTTCAAATGATCAAGAATTTTTTTCCTAAAGATTAGCGCAGTCTTGAATCACACTGTCCCTACGTGGATCTTTTCCCTCAGTCAAGCACACGTGTCCCCAGCTGGTTATGATCATTCTCCAGGCCTTCAGGACACAGGTCCCTGCTCTTCCCAGAGTAGTTTAATTTCCGGATCCTCATCCACACTGTGGACACTGATGTTCAGGATTTGTCCCACTCTCTGTCCATCCTCCTGTGTCCTGGATGGACAGTCAGCTGCTAGAGGGCCAGACCAGACACGGCTCTTATACTTTCATTTGGAGGACTCAGGGTGACAAGCACAGAGATAAAAACCCTTCAGAGCACTGCTGCACTGAATTTTGTCCATGTCTCTCAAAGCAGACCTTGGAACAGTGCCATAAGATGTCTCTCAGCTTCCATGGGCAGGTTCCATGTGGATAATGAGAACCAGGCAGACAGAGTCCTGATTCCTGCCCACCATCTCCTGTCCCCAAGTATCCCAAAGACACTACCCCTAATATCACCTTTTGTCTTCCATTGTGTAAATTTTCATTAGATCTGTCCCTGTACACTTAGCTCCATGGGTCTAGAGCCCTGCTCATTTCCTGCCAGCTCTCTGCTGTGCAGGTGCAGATCAGAGGCTCAGTAATAAGGTTGTACAGTGATGACAGAGACCTCATGTGGTCATGAGCAGGGAATGGCCTATGTATTTTTTAGGAAAAGACGAAAAATCACATGCACAGAGGACGAGACAACAGCATTATCCAGGAAGAAACATCACAGGCTGGAGTCATTTATCAAATCTTGGTCAATGCAACAGACCCTGTAAATAGGAAAACATGACAAGCCACAGACTGGATAAAATGTCCCCTGATTTTTTTGTTTATGTTTCCTCTGTGAACTAGTTTTTTGTTTGTTTGTTTTTGATTTTGATTTTGTTTTTTAATGCTTAACACTTCAACTTATTAAGTAGTTAGGTCTAAAAAGCTTAATAGGATTTATGTTCTAACAATGCATGTTTAAGAAAAAAAAACTGAATTGAAATAATATTTTTATTTTACTCTTAAATAATTAATTACTAATTGGTTGTCCCTGCCTACAGGGCATTCTTCAATTTACTGAACTGGGAATTAGAAGGGTCATTACAAACTTTATTTCATGTTCCATAATGATTTTTGGACTAGGATTTAATGGAGACTTCGTAAATAGTGTCTAAGTTGAATGTGCTGTTTTAGTTTTTCCCTGTTATTGCACAGAAGCCCTGTTGATGTGGGTAAGGTGTGGGGTAGGGGAAGCACTGCACACTCCTATGACAAGTTCTGTCCTTTAGTGAGCCGTGTCCTGGGTGTGACCTTCACAGGTGCTTCTCCCTGTATCCTCCCTTACTGGAGACTGAAAGGCTCTCAGGGGAGGGAGATGGCCTTGGGTGTTCCTCTTCTCTCAGACCTATGCTCAGTTATGCTCTGATGAAACCCCAACCTATTAGAATCAGCTGAATTAGCTTCTCCTGTGGTCAGGCTTCTTCAAGGAACATCATACTCTGGTGCATTTCACAATGTCTTCCTTCCCCCTTTCTGTTTGGAGCATGAGGATTCTTTTCTTATCTTTTCTTTGAAAACCATGGAGGCCCTTGAGGTAGAGTTTAAAAGTTTTGTGTCCCCTAAGCCTCTCCTCCTGGGCCCCCCTAACTCTCAGATTTTCCCACTGTGAGTCTTCAGCAATTCTTCAGCCACAGCTCTGGATTTTCAATTCCTGTCCTGGATCTCACAGAGTTTTCTGGTCATGAGTTTCTGATCAGACACGCTTCGGCCCTCTGTGTCTTCCTGACCGCAACTTCAACTTTGGAGACAGCAGTTCACCCTGTGACATCACTTATTTTATGAATATAAGAAAAGAAAAGCTACTGATTTTACACCTGTTCAGTGATTTTCTTGTTGCATGGATGAGAATGATGACGTCCATGCTTCTTACGTGCAAGACGTGAAACCAGAACTCCTCGTGTCACAGCTGAAGGTCAAGGACTGTGTGTGTGTGTCCTGCTTGCTGCTTGTATACTTCCACTTGTCACATCGAAGGTGTCGAGTAGAAGCCGTGCTGGCTGCCGTGCTCACCTCGTCATGATTTCCGAGGGACGCATTGATCCTTTTCCACTGTATGGTCTGAGAGAGGTTATTTCTCATTCATGTTGCTATTAATGTTCCCTTGATTGACAAGTCAAAATTGCAATCCCTTATTGGGAACATGATGGTTTGATGAATGTACTTAATGTGGAATACTAAGGTCAAACTCATCAAAGGATCCATCACCTCACCTTACCGTTTTTGTGATGAGACATTTGAAATTAACTGTTTGCTATTTTGCAATCTGCAGTCAATTATTATTGGCTATAGTTGCCATGCTGTTCAATATCTCTCAAATATTTATTCCTTCTTGGGTGGAAGGAGGATATTGGGAGATGTTGGTCTCTCTATTTTTTTTTTAAATGATAATTTAACTGAATATAGAATCCTGTGTGGTGGTGATTGCAGCTTCCAACACTAAAAATTTCAATCCACTCAATTTTTATTTGTGTGGATCCTGACGAGAAGTCTTCTGTAATCTTATCCTTGTTATTTTACGTAAGCCTTTTAAACCTAACAACTTTAAGTATATGCTGCAGTTTTAATGTGATAACATTTAATATCTTGGTCGTGTATGTGGATGTGTGTGTGTATGAGTATGTTTATGCGTGTTCATGTGTGTATATGTTTGTGTGTGTCTGTGTATTTGTGTGTTAGTGTGTGTACATGTGCATGTGTGTGTGTGCATGTGCGTGTGTGTGTGTGTGTGTGTGTGTCTGTGCACTTCTTTGTGGATATTATTCATTGTGTTTGGTGCTCTGTGGACTTCATTGTTCTACTTTATGTTGCCAATAATTTCAAAAACTTATCATCCATTCATACTTCCACGTTTTTACCTATGCTTTTGAGTTTTCAGTGTACAAATCTTTACCTAATTTGGTTAAATTTATTCCCAAGACTTTAATTATTTTTTACTGATGCTATTGTAAATGGGATAGTTCTACTGATTTATTAGTTAGATAGTTAGTTTTTAGTTGTTAGTGTATAGAAACACTACTGGTTTCTGTGTTCTAATTTTATGTCAAAATATTACTAAATATGTTTATTAGTTTTCACATGTAGCAGGTGGACTTTTTAAGGTTTTTATATAAGATATCACGTTATCAGCAAACAGAAAGGATTTTTATTCTGTTTTCCTACGTGGATGTGATTTATTTGTTCTTATTACATCATTGCACTTTCTAGAACATCCAGTTCTATTCTGAAGAGAATTGGGGAGAAAAGGTGTTATTGTCTTCTTCTGATCAGTTATAATAAACATAACTTTCACTGCTAAGCATGTTGATAGCTGTGGGATTATTGTATATGATTTTGAATGTACTGAAGTATATTTTTATATTAGTAATTTGTTGCAATTTTTGTTATTAAAATGCTGTTGAATTATGTTAAATGCTTTTTTGGCATCTGCTGAGATGATCATACATTTTTCCCCTTCATTGTAGAATGTAGTTTGTCACATTACCTTGCTTCTTTTGGACTGTCCTTGCATCCCAGAGATAACTCCTAGTTAATTATGCTTCAAAATATATTATAAAGCTAAAGCAATCAAAACTGGTGCAGTCCATGCCATGGCAGAGTCCTAAAGGAGTCAGCTTGGGCTGCCCTCTCCAAGTTGGCAGGGCCACTGGAGGGAGAGCTGTTGGCATGGCTGTAGCTACGAGCACTTGCTGCAACCAGAAGGACAGCCTGCCTCAGCTTTGTGGTTATTGCCTTCTCTTTTGATATTTTGGTTAGCGTGGCAGTTCTCTGAATTCCCAAAAGATTATAAAAGTAACAGAAATAATTATGTAGTCATTGAACTAAACATTCCCACAGAGGATCCGAGTAAATTGGACAATTTAACATTATCCCCTTTGTAGGGGCACATGGATGAAGGAATCACGCGAGATCCAGGCTAACAGTTCGCCAGAGAGGTTCTGCTTTATTCAAGGACTGCGTGTACATTTATAGGGAGCTGCATTCCAGGGTTGGATAGGGGGTGGATGGGGCAGTAGCTGATTTGATGGGGCTGGGCAGGAGGTGAGCCTTGACCTGTGACTGGCTGAGGTTTGGTGTGGGTGGGCTGGTTTACTGTGGAGAAGAACAAGGAAGGGTGCCATATTGCCAGGGTGTGTCCCTGTTCAGGCACCCATGGGGTCCCTACACCTACATTCCTCCCTTTTCCTCTATTGTGGGGAGTGGGTCGCCGTGATCTTCGAGCTACTTCCTGCTGGACGGTGGCGTAGTAGGGGAAGAGGAATTGGGGGAAGATTGGGGATTTTGTAACAGAACCCAAAAGAGGGTAAAGAATAAGATAATTTCGAAGGGGGAGAACTCTAGAAAGGTTCCCTGAAGCCACAGGTTGGTGATTTGTTGAGTCCAGTGCATGTAGGAGGCTGTAGGGGAGAGCATCCAGGCATCCATGGCCAAAGCTTCCAGGAACAGGGACCATTGATGAGTTAGGTCCATTTTAACAGCAGGTTAGCTGGTCTGGTGGAGAGCGGGCCGGATCCTCGGTGGCCAGGAGCTGGTAATTTCTAAGTAAAAGCTGGTTAAAAGTTTGGTTAGAAATTCTTCCTAGTTGAGTTTGAATGAATTTTATAATGCAGGGCAGAAAAAGACAGGCTATAAATTTAACAGCGAGGGGTCCTAATATTGGCCATACCCAGGTGAAAAGTGAGCCTTGGAAAAAAGAGGAGAAAGGATCAGGGCAGTTGGCTCTGAGGTCTGAGGCTAAGTTGGTGAGTTTGACAATATCGATTTCTACTAGTCCTGATTCATTGATATAATAGCAGCATTCCTCCCAGAGGAAGATGCAAGTGCCGCCTTTGTCTGCCATGAGGAGGTCTAATGCGCGGCGGTTTTGTAGGGTTACTTTAGCTAGGGAGGTGATTTGTCTTTGTAAGGCAGATAGAGATTCAGCTGTGGAGGTGAGGGCCTTTTGTAGTTTGTTATTAACGTCTTGTACCACCCAATTAAGTATGTCCCAGGGCCCCGCCTGACAGGCCAGTTGCAACAATTGATGTTAAGGACATTCCCACTAGGACTGGGAGAAAGACAGCCCGACGCTGTCTTGGGGATGGATGGAAAAGGTGGAAAAGCTCTGTGTGGGAATATAAAGTTAGTTGGGGAACGACAGTGACTGGGTAGCAAGGAATGGAGATATTAGGAAAGATAAAGGTGGAAAGGGTTCCATTGCACCAAAAAAAGATGCCCGGTGGGGACATTGTGTGGCTTGTGATGGTGGTCCTTTTTGTGCAATGGAATGAGGAAGGGGGTGAGGGGGTGGATGATCCCAGAAAACAGTGATGGGACATTAGAGTGTGGTTGGGAGTGTTATTGGGATCCCATAGAGGAACATTGGGAAGGCTGAGGGGTGCAGAGGAAGAATTGGAAGGGAGTGAGGTAATGTTTACAGGGACAGCAGCCAGAAGTGGGCGTAGCAAAGATGCGCAAAGGAAGCAATTGTTAGGAGGGGTAGAGTTGAAGAAAGTCTGGTTAAGGAAGATAACAGTTTCAGAAATAATTTGTTGCCAAGTGTAGGTGGGAGAGAGCTGGTTGGCAGTGTTTATCTCTCAAGAAAGGGTTTTTCTTGCTGAGAAATGTGAGTATGTACAGCAGATAAGGAAACAGGATCTTTTCTGAAGACATATGTGCGGGAGATTTCAAATCGTCTGCAGGGAAGAGAACCAACCACGGCATCACAGAAGAAAGACCCAACAACCACCCCAACCCACCTGGGTTCCCAGGGGTCATGAATGAGTAATTGGAATGTGTACCCATTCCGCCTGTTCCCAACCCACTGAAAGATTTGCTTGTTATACTGTGGCACCTTTGGATCATGAATCCGACACAACTAGTATGGGCATCACCCATAAGTTTCCAGCCACCAGTGGCAATAATCTTTGGTTTGATCAAAAAGAAAACATAGATATGGGTATGAGGCTTGAGGGATTAATTTACTCCCTGTAAGGGGAATGGTAACGAGAATTCGGCATCCAGCTGGAGAACAGTCCGCCATGGAAGGAAGCAGTGTGGTGGCTTTACCTTGTTTCCCTGTAAGAGTCTCTCACACCATGAACCACCAAATGTATGAGGATTTAGAAACACCTACTAGGCACAGTAAGAGAAACAGGATAACGTTAATGGGAGTGGTCATTGTTCCTGCAATGGAGGGAGACTTGGAAGTTGGGATAAACGGAGTTTGAGAGGGTTAGAGGGATTAGGAGTGCAGGTAAACGTTTCAGTTTCCCGAAAGGGTGTGTCTTGAGCTTGCAAAGTGCGCGTAGATTCCACGGAATCCGCTGGTGAAGCCGGGAAGCAGGGTTTTAACCTAGAAATGTGGATCCATGGAGTTACTTGGTTGTTTGGTAGGGAAAGCTTGGCAGCTGTGGGAGTGTAAAGAATGACTGGGCAAGGGCCCTCCCACTTAGGAGTTAAAGGACCAGGATGTAGTGTGGAGGTGTTTTGGGAGGAGGTAGGATTAGGCAATAACCAATCCTGGTGTTTTCAGAGTTCAGCTCGAAGATGGGAGAGTAACGGAATAGCCAGGTTGGAGGGAATTGTCTCTTGTTTAGGGATGATCCCTGGAGGTAAAGGGGACCTCCCATACATAATTTCAAAAG